TGGCTAAAAACTCGCAAGTTATTCTTACAACATGTTGAAATATAGGTACGTGGGTTATGTTAATTGGATACATAGACGATTGTCTGTAATTGAATCGATGAGTTCTAGGCTTCATATTGTTTATGTATTTATTAGCTGTCCAAGTAACATGGTAATATGCAGCATTCCTGAATTGAATGCTCATTGACTGAACTTTTAATATTTAAATATTTTATGAAATGATATTACTTTAACACTAACTAATACAACCTATGTCAGTTCTAACATACCATTGGCTGACCATTTCATTGATTCAATAAAATGTCGAGTAAGAATGTTCTGGTTCTAAATGCTAATAATATTGGTAGTACATAACTCTGGAAGTTAATGAGTTGCTCGCTGGTGGAACTGTGCTCGTCTCTGGCGATGAGCCGCGCTCGTAAAGTGCGCGTATCGATTGCGAACATTTGACCACGTGCACACGTCGTTTGTACGCATTTTCATTAGCAACAAACGTAGAAACAAACGGTGTAATCTTTGAGTGACAGCGGACTGCTGTCGCCAAATTAAATCTACTTGCAAAGTCCCGGAAATCAATGAGAATAATCCAGAGTACTTATTAGCTGAATAGCCAGTCTCTCTCCATTCTGTCCCGCTGTAGGAATGCTTCATTACATTCCTTTCACGGAACACTTTCAAATAGTCGTTTTGCCAAAAGACAGAGCGATAAAAGAATCCTCTTCATTTCCTACAAAGCAAATGATCGACGACAAAATAAAACGTAATTTAAAAAGCAGAATTTCTAAGATTAACGTCATCTCTTGAAACAGATTTGTTGTTAAAAAGAACAGCCTCTTACGAGCGAATGTTTGGCATGTGCGCTGTACCTGTAATGAGCTATAAATAGAGACAGTGTGTCCCTACATTAGTACAAGACCCGCCCACGGCAGTAACTTGTCCCAAAACAGAAGTCTATAAGCTTTTAAACAGTTTGGCAGTTCGCCAGGCGATCGGGCATCAACCTCGGAACACCACGAATATATGCCAATTTCGAACCCAATCGACCAGCCACATGACAAACGCCGAGTAAAATGACACCGAAGAAGTGTTTCTTTATGACAATTATTTGTAATTTTTGTGGCACATTGCCAGCCGCAGTCAGGATGCAGCTCATTTATTTAAAGTCAAAGACTTCTAATGCCCACATAATCTATGAAAGCTGTCAAACGTTTATGATAAATGTCGCTTTCTGTGTTACATTTACGTGTAGCGCTGTAGTGAGTAAGGAACGGCTCAATTTCCTGGCGTCTGGCTCGCGATACGGTCACGCGAATAAATTCAAAGAGTCAATTCCAAACAGCCGTCGAGTTAACGCACTGCCAGGACGCGGAACTAATACAAATAGCCCAGTTCTGAATAACTCAATAAAATTAGTTTTAAAGCAAACACGGCAGGTCCCGCTGATGGCGGCTGGCGCGCCGTGCTGCGCACTGCTCGCAGGAACACGTTCTGGCTATAAGGTGTCGTTGGTAAGTCGCGACGCCAACTATTACTATTTCCAGTGAAGCGGAATAACCGTGCGACTGCAATAAAGGGTAGGGCTCGCTCGCTATCACAGCGGAGACCTATTGTAAGCAAAAAATACGACGCTCTATTTCATCTAGTGCAATTTTCATATGAATGTTCAATCAGTTGCTCATATGCAATGTACTTTTATTTATTATTAATTTTCATATGCATGTATTAAAGTGTTCCCGGCTTGTAGACATTTACTTTTAAACAGCCATTAACATCTTTCTGTGTTAAGTAACACTGAGTCATCGTTCAAGTTTACTGCCGTGAACCGTCGGCTGGCCAATAAATATTTATACAGACAATTAACGTTAGGCGCGAATACATTACAGATTGTTAATTCGTACATATTTAATTATTAATTTACAATAAATCTTTATAGAACTCTTCACAATTATGTGAATTGAATTTTCATCTCTTATCCCAAATCCTACAAAGTCTAATTCCTATGTTACTCTGGGAATACTAATCAGGGATCCTAATGAGTGTTAGCCGCTGGCAGTGCGACCCGGGCCGGCCTGCACACGCGTGTCGTACCGGGAACCAGCTCGGCTTTACGACCAGGCGTTTGTTTATACAACTACGATACGTTTCGATTCCATTCAATTCAAATCGCTGCCTTATTAAACGCATAATGCGCGTTTTTACGCTTCATTAGCGTGCCAGCCGTTATGTGCTGGTCCACTCGAGTCTAGACTATTTCTTGTAAAAAATGTCGGTCTATCTTTCCTGGACCTAGACTTTTATGGTTCCTAGGAATGTAAATAAAACTCCGAGTAACTTTACTGCTATGCATAAAGTGTCATACTCACAGCGTGTCCGCACAAGATTTTAATGAACAATTTAAACAAAACTTAGCAAATATGATTGCAGTGCCAAATGCAGCACTATTAAATACACGTGTAATTCTCCTCGCATGAACACTAAGCATCCTCGGGCCTGCGTCGTACTTGGTTAATGATCAAACAAACTCACATCCGCGCCTGCACATAACTATTACAACTTTATGAGGTTTCATTGCGCACTGTCTAAAATAGAACCAATACCAGTTATAATAAATAAAGTGCTGACACTAACCATTCACTGCGCACTTTATATTGTTGTTAATCGCGACTGAATTATAACGTGTCGTACAATAAACTCATTCGTTGAAGATAACTCACATCACAAAGGGTCTTTAGCAACAAACTGATACATAAACTGCGGAGCTATCATTATAGGGGCGTACACACTGACCCAACCTATCATAATCTACTTGACTACTAAAAAAAAACAAAGAGGTCGTCGGTAAACAAAAAACATGTGAAACTACTTCACAAACGAACATTTTATTAGTGTAAAACCCCCCTATTACACGGTACGCGCTACAATTAAATAGTTGGAACCACAGAATTTGGAATAGCTCACGGCTAATTTAATTTAACGGTGGAATCAGTGTTGTGTTGTCTGTTTGTACGTCCGTAGAGCCATGTGTCGATATAACGTGTCGTTAAAAGCGCGTTAACCGACGATTCGGACGTCGAACGTGACGGAAAAAATACAGACCAGTTACATGCAGACTCGGTGCAGGATTTGTGACAGAATAGAGATACATAACATAACGTCACGCCTTTTATGCCCGAAGGGGTAGGCAGAGGTGCACATTACGCCACTGTAAAATGTAACACCCACTTTTCACTATTTATGTTATGAGTCCCATGTAATTGGGAGTGAGCCTATTGCCATATACCGAGCACAATTCCAGACTCTGTGCTACTACTGAGATTTTTTTTAAAAACCCAGTAATACTTTGCCCGACCCGGGAATCGAACCCGAGACCCCTTGCCCGGCAGTCGCACTTGCGACCACTTGGCTAACGAGGCAGTCATAGATACATGTATGCACCTTTTCAATCCGATAGTTACTTCGCTATCATAAATCATATTATACAAGAAGGAAAACAAAAGTAACTCATAATATTAAACATTAACAGATCTAGTTGAAAGATGATTTAGTTATTGAACTTTTGTTCCATTTAAAATAATTTCTTTATCTGTGTTGAGATACCAATATGAAAAGTTTCTAAAACTTTTAAGAAACGAGATCTAAAGATCATAATTCAGATGTAAAATAATTATTTTGATATCACAACAATGTAAAGTTGCATCAGTGAGATTAAGAATGAAAGGCACAATATGTTAATTGTACGCAGCCCTTTCTGGACCAAACGAATCCCAGGCCGCGCCGTACCATTTATGTTGGTCCAAAAATAAATAAAAGCATTTAGCTCTACTATTTCCAAATGGACCGAACTGCGTCGATATTCTTGACAAATGTTTTAAATTCTTTTTGTTTAAAATATTATATAGTTGAGAAGATTGCACGTTGGGCATTTATTTATCCGACGTTATTTGTTTGTAAATCTTCGAACAAATCAAATTAATCGCTATAACTATTGGATATTCGGAAAACGATTAACTTTATTTTACCACAATAAAGTGACACCGCCTTTTAATTACTTATTCGTTTATAATCGGCGTCCGTCTTTGATGATACTAATGTTTGTATTGACCTAATTAACTAAAACATTGGCCTCGCAAATGATAATCACTTACAAATTAGGAGGGATCGTCATCTCGTACGCGATTGCGACAGCATTGTAGGAACATGTGTACGGCAACACAATCTTACATCACATTGCCACAATAAAAATTAAATTAGTACATATAAAGTAAATAAACTATATTTGCAGCGGAAGAGACTATAAAAACATGACGCCTAAGCACTAAAATAGCAATACAAAGGATTTCCCAAACAATCCGGTACATTTATCAGCAAGTTATCGACATGGTATGACAATAAACGAACAGTAGTCGGGGCACAATGCGATGCGAGATATTGTGTAATCGCCGTGTACCGATACCGAGCGATAAGCGCCGATATCGGCCAGATTGTGCGATACAGCCGCCTACTCGGCTAGCAGTGTAGTGCGCCGTGTGTGCCGCTCGCCCGCGCGCCGCGGCAACAATAACAAACATGTCTGTCTTATTGTCGCATTTAACTCAGCATCAGTCCACTCACAACTCTACCTTTATATCCTAAACACTAATTACAAGTAACATTATGTAATACAAGTGCCCGTAAGTAAGTACTCTGTAGGTTTACATCGACCTCTACAATAAGTGAATAGATAAATAAAATGTTCGTGTTATTCTTTTAACAGTACGAGTGTCATCTGTCATGATATCTGTGTTTATCGTAATTAGTGTGGAATTTTAGTAACCGATTAAAGAACTGTGTAATAATGTAAGAAAATTATTTTAACAAGAATGAACCAGATTAGTGATTTAACGACAAGTATCGCCTGCAAGGTCCAAATATCGAGAGTACCATTATGTTGCTGTAAGTGTTGTTATGTAGTGATATTAATAGTATATTTATTATGTTACAGATGCGGTCGTGGTAGCAGCATGACGATGTGGTTGTGGTGGGTGGTGGCGGGCGCGCTGCTGGCGCGGGGCGGCGCGCTGCAGCCGCGCTGCCAGGAGATCACCATCCCCATGTGTCAAGGCATCGGGTACAACCTCACCTCCTTCCCCAACGCACTCGACCACGACACACAGGAGGAGGCTGGCCTTGAGGTACGTATTGACTCTTCTGTCAGAGGTCTCTTGACATATATTGTCCCTTATGGTTAATTACACTAGAAAGGTAGTTAAAAATGAATTGAGCGTTAATATGTAATTGTTTTTCTATATTGTTTTCAGGTTCACCAATACTGGCCGCTCGTCGAGATCAAATGTTCCGTAGACCTGAAGTTCTTCTTATGTTCTGTATACACGCCTATCTGCATCGAAGACTATGCGAAGCCCCTGCCAGCCTGTCGCAGCGTGTGTGAGCGGGCGCGGGATGGGTGCGCGCCACTGATGATGAAGTACGGGTTCAAGTGGCCCGACCGCATGGCGTGCGAGCGCCTGCCGCGCGCCGGGGACCCCGACCAGCTGTGCATGGAGGAGACGGAGCGCGCGCGCGAGCCGCCGCCGCCGCCGCCGGGCCGGCGCCCGCAGCGCCCCGCCTGCACGGACCCAAAAAACTGCGCAAGCGCTGCGGGCGCCGACGCGGGCCCCACGTGCGCATGCGCGTGCAGGGCGCCGCTGGTGGGCGTGCGCGCCCTGCACAACGGAAGCGCGGCCGCAGGCGTGGCGGCGTGCGCGCTGCCGTGTCGCGGCGCGTTCTTCACGCGCGAGGAGAAGGAGTTCGCGGCCGTGTGGGTCGCCATGTGGGCCGGCCTCTGCGCCGCCAGCACTCTCATGACCCTCACCACCTTCCTCATCGACTCGCAGCGCTTTAAGTACCCCGAGCGGCCCATCGTGTACCTGTCGGCCTGCTACTTCATGGTGTCGCTGGGCTACCTGGCGCGGCTGGCGCTGGGCCACGACGAGGTGGTGTGCGAGGGCGCACTACTCCGCACTTCTGCCAACGGTCCGGGAGCCTGCACTCTGGTCTTTGTACTCGTGTACTTCTTCGGTATGGCATCATCGATATGGTGGGTGGTTTTATCCTTCGCGTGGTTCCTCGCAGCGGGACTGAAGTGGGGCAACGAAGCTATCGCAGGACACGCACAATACTACCATCTGGCCGCATGGCTCATACCTGCTGCTAAAACTGTGGCGGTGTTACTGGCTGGCGCCGTCGACGGCGACCCCGTGGCTGGTATCTGCTACGTCGGCAACTCATCACCGGAGAACCTGAAACGATATGTGCTTGCACCGCTGATCGTGTACTTCGCACTCGGTGCCACGTTCCTGTTGGCCGGCTTCGTGTCGTTATTCCGTATTCGATCCGTGATTAAGCGACAAGGCGGAGTTGGCGCTGGCTCGAAGGCCGATAAGCTAGAGAAGTTGATGATTCGGATCGGCGTGTTCAGCGTGCTGTACGCGGTGCCGGCGGGCGTCGTGATCGGCTGCCTGGCGTACGAGGCGGGCGGCCACGAGCAGTGGCTGCGCCGCGTCGCCTGCGGGCCCGGCTGCGGCTCGCGCCCGCTCTACTCCGCGCTCATGCTCAAGTACTTCATGGCGCTGGCCGTGGGCATCACGTCGGGCGTGTGGATCTGGTCGGGCAAGACGCTGGAGTCCTGGCGCCGCGTGTGGCGGGGGCCGCGCGGGCCCCGCGACCCGGCGCCCGCCGCGCGCGCCCTGTTCAAGGACGTGTGACGCGCGCCCGCGGCGCCCGCCGCCGCCGCGCTAGTGCCGGGCGCCGCCCCGCTGGCGCCCGAGCTGCCCCCTCCGGCGCCACTGGTGCCCACCGTGGCGCCCTCTGCGCGCTCGGGACAACCGCTCTCCGACTACGGCCCTGTCTAGTCAGTTCGGCTTCTTACTTCGAGATGTAGTCTCGCAACAAACCTTTGAGAAAGTACTGACAGAAGCCCGTCCCTCTGTCGATGACGTAGTGGTACCTGGCAGCCCCCGCTGCCCGGGCAGTGAGCTGACGCTTGACGTTGTGTTTGTGACGCGCCAGTGACATAGTGCATACATAGTGGTGAGAGCGTCGCGTTGTCTAGTCCTAGTGTATCTCCGCGACGCACAAATATACGTAACTAGTGTTAAGGACCGCGGTGCGGCCGTGGCGTCCGACCTCGCTCCTCGCTCGGATGCCTGCAGACTGATATTCTATGGACACTATCGTGTAAGCAATCTTTGTAACCGCTTAAATACAAAATTTGTCACGTCCAGTTTGATTCATAACGACTGGGTTTTTCCAACGTAAGAGTCAGTAAAATACTCCACTGTTGAGATACATTACCTCATTGATCACTGCCAATTTCATATGTTTTTACTGTTGACAGTGAAGTAGTTTACTGCTCTGTACTGATACCTCTAGGCACATCTTGGCTACACACATACCTCGAGGGCTCACCTCCACTGCATTGCCTATAATTACTATGTATCTCACACACAAGTAGTGTTGGTGAGTCCCTGACGGTAGTGCTGATATTGTTATTGTGACGTTAGTCCCGTAGTGTGTGCCGAACGCATTTTGAGCATTTTGTATCTATTGTAATGATCTCTGATGTCATATTGTAAATAGTGATCCTATATCATTTCATCCTTTTAAGTAGTAAGATGTATTCATAATCTACTTATGTATTTGTTTAACTCTTCTGTTTATGTTATTAAAACTTGTAGAAAAGACAACCCTAGTGAAAAAATCATTCTAATTTCTTTTTCTGTTTAGTTTTGTACAACTCCACAATAGATGGCGTTCATCGACTATGCCGACTGGTTAGATTCATAAACTGCTACAGCCGTGCAACGCCATCTAGTGTTGAGTTGCTGACACTTTTGTAAATATTATGAACAAATGCTGAATTCAATTAGAACTGAATATAAGTTGTGACGATAAAATTGTATTTTGTGCAATGGTATAGTGTATTCTTACTTAAATGTAAAGTGAATAAGATGTATGAAAAATTGTATATTGTAGCCACGGACGCCGCAGCCGAAACCATGAAAATCATTATGTAATTTATTTTATATCTAACTGTAGATAACAAATAAAGCGACTTTTTTATGTACATATATTTGTTTTACTTAGTATGTCCATTCTAGAAAGAAATTAAGAAAGACTGAAAACTAGAGTGCAATACGATCTGAGGAACTGATTAAGTCTTGAATCGACACTTATAGGGGTGAATATAAGTCTATTGATGTACCAGACCAGGCGAAGAACTTTGGACTACCGTTACGGAGAATTTCGAAAACTGGACATGAATTCGACACTACTTAGGTACTCCACTCGTTACGCTTGAGATTACTGGATTAAACTGTCAAACACCGCGAGGACACCGGTGACCGCGACCTATTGTTCTTTAATTGTGTCTATAAAACCGGTACTCGACGAGTTAATAAAAAAGTCGAAAATGATAAAATAATTTATTTATACGAGTAACTGAGTGATACAACTTTAAAAAGTGGGATGTATTTAAAATTGTAGGTTCTACTACTTTTCTCTTACCTTTTGATTTAATTCTTTGTCAAATTGCCTTGACAAACTGAACCAGCACGAGTTGATAACGACGATGGTGATTTGAATAAAGTGATATTTTAAATTTTTTAACATTATTTACCGCAATGTTCCAAACAGTCTCATTTAGTTAAGTCACCCTACCTTTCACTGTTACGTTTAACAAAAGGAACCTTTAAAGAAAATTCAAATAAAACAAGAATTCAGTCTATCAAGTTTATATAGGTCTAAGTACTATAAGGTGGGGTTAACGTATTTTATAACTAATTATTGCTAGTTTGAACATTCACTTTATCAAACTGCAGTGTCAAACAATATCACAATGAAAACAACGCCATCTTTTGACTAATAGGAAAACTATAAATCGCCACCTAGCGGATACATATGGATTTACAATAAAGGAATAAAAACGGTAGGTACTTATTTTTTACAATAACATAAAACAAAGCAACGAACAATATGACTTACATATCTAGAGTCTATCACATTACATTACGTATTTTCGTTTGGACAGAATAATACATTCTTATCATTTAATTCTTTGTATCAAGAAATTGCAAGTAAACTAAGATTGCTTTACTGCCTCCTCTACACGCAAGTCTAGTGTCTACCCGATATTTGATTACTAATAATCCATAATAAATAGCATACGTTAATCATTGTAAATACTACGTCCCTAATATTGCTGAAATTCATCACTTACGTATAACTTTTAAAATACCCCAGAAGAGTACAAAAAGTACCTTCTTGTTAGACCAAATAGAGAAAAATATCACCTACTGCATCTAGGTACTTATTAGACTTACAATAATACCTAAACTATAAAGCACAAATCAAAAGTGTTTTATAAGTATCTACTTGTGTAAGTAGATAGGTACTTATTCCAGGAATATGTAAACAATTCAATTACCGCACTTTGCACTTTTGTAATCTAGAAAAGCAAAAAACTCCTTTCGGACTTCATTCTTGTTTCAATATTGTTGAAACTATTTTTTTTTCAGTTCAGCAAGTAGCTTATCATTAACATTATTCGTACCTACGATTATTGCTTAAAAGTATTTAGTAAAAAGTAAAATTGTATATTTTTAAACAGATGTACTTAATCACTATTTACGTATTAATCGTTAATGGCAGTTTTCTCTCTATTTTAATTTTTAATCTAGCATTTTCTTATCTTACGCTAACAGATGTCGCTACTCGTACTAAAACTTGATGTGTTGTTAAGGTTCAACTTTTTGTAATCGCAATTATTGAACTCTAAGAAATAAAATGTTACGCGATTAACGATTTATGTTACTTTGCTATCCAGAATATTGAATATTTTTTTGCAAAATGTCGATATTCTGAAGCATAAGCACGAATCAGTTTAAAATCGAGATAGCGACATCTAGAATTAAATATTATGCCGATGTCGTTCAGTATCTTATATTTTACATTCACGCTTACAAAAGGCGGACTGGTTGACAAGAATTAAGTTAGTATTCACAATTGTATAAAGATGGACAGGAATGAACATCATTGCCTTACGTTAATTTGGCGGGCATTACAGTTTCAAGTACAGACAGCCGGTCAATCTATTCCAATCTATCAATTTTATTTCAATGTAATCTTAACTTAAATCAAAATCATAAAGTTATAATCAACTGACGGATTTAGACTAGGCTGACCTGCATTGTGTTTACAATTTTTTAAAATCCGTCATTAGAGGTATACCCTCAGCTGGTCACAATACTATTAAAATGTTGGTAGTACTGGCCGTACTGGTCGTGTGTGTGCGTGTACTCGTGCATGTGTGTGTACCCGTGTGTGTGGTGCGTGTGGTCCGCGTGGTGCGGCGGCGGGGCGGGCAGCGGGGGGGGCGCGGCCGGCGGCTGGACGTGCTCCGTGCTGCACGGGTCCTGCTGTAGTGGCTGCGGAGCTTGAGGGACGCCCTAGAATCATAATTACAAACATAAAGAACTAGTTTATTTTTTTAAGAAAAACACTAGGATTTTGTACTGTGTCGTGGGTGCGTTTACAAACATACAAGTTCACATACACATGACACCCAGACCCGAAACAACAATTTGTGGGTCACACAAAGTGTTGTTCCGTGCGGGAATCGAACCCGCGACACGTTGCACGGCAGCCGGTTGCCCAGCCACTGCACCAACCGTGCTAACTCAATAATAATATTGTACCTACCTAATTAAAAATAGAATTTGCTCACGACAAGACCTAGGGTTTGCAAGCAACACCATTAATGACTCGAAACCTCATGTTGTAGCCAAACCATTTTACTATGTAAGCAGGTAACTGATTGACGAGGAACTCATGACGCGGCGACTGTGGCGCTGATACTGTCGCATCGCCGCGTCGCGGGTCGCGGAATGCTGCTCATGAATATGAACCCTTTTTTTTCTTCTTTTTTTTAAGGGGGGGAAATCATCGAATGACTGCTCCCGCCTGGGTGAGGCAGAAGGGAGTGTCAGACTCTTACTGACTAAAAACCACCCCGTTCCTTCTCCTGCACGTCGAGCCGGAACCCCGGTTACCCGTTAGGTTCTCCGCGACATGAATATGAACCTCTAACGTGGCTTGAAACTAGTCGAGCTTCTCGTCAAACAGTTACTTGAGTAAGCCAAAAATATATTAATTTATTTAGTGTCTCACGAAAGTCTTGATATAAATATCTAAGCAGATTTTTACAAGATACGTACGAACTACGAATAGTCAAAGTTAAACATCAATGTTGAAACACCGTTACATCATGACACCTTGTGAATTCACTGTTCAATTGTTCCCGATGTAAATTTCTCACCACTTTGTATAGGTAACAGAAAATTAAATAGATGAGTAGCCAATACTACGCATTCGTCATAATTAGGTAGTTTCCTGTGTAAAAACTAATTATTTTGATTTTTTAGTCCAATTAAATACCTATTGAAAAATAGTTACACTTTCATTCATTGATTTGAAGATATACTTAAGTTTCGATTTGTTCTAGCATTTTTTTATAGATATAAGTATGCTATTTGAGGCGAAAATATGATGACGTCATAAGCTGGTATTTCTTACAAAATTCATAGAACAGTATCGTTTTTGACGTTTCGATAAAAGTATTGAATTTGACTAGTTGTCAACTACCGTATTGTACGAATGCTTGTTGCACATACCTGCATCTGGTACTTGCACCTCTTGAACCTCCCGTACAGTGAGGAGTACGGCAGGTTGAAGTGGATGGCTGCCTGGTTGATCGACATCTGGCCCACTCTGTAAAAATATTTGAATTTAATAACATTAGCTGCTGACGTCCAGTACTAATATAAATCTGGTAGACCAGATTAGTTATTCACCATATCATTTGGAAAGAAATCTACTACTGAATAAGCAAGCTTCAAACTATCCAAGCTTAGTGACTTGAGGATTTTAGTTGGGTCACCAAAAATTCGATGTTACTGCTACTCGACGGCTAGTTGCAATTTTAAAGTGCGGGTACCGGGTCCATCAGATTATCTACTACATCTATATTGATAGGTATTTTTTTGTATACGAGTAGTATGTTACCTGACTGCTTCGAGAGCTTCGCCCATGGCGTCTTCCGACCACGGCGTGGGATTGGAGCGAGATAACTCGATACCTTCTCGCTTACACCGACCATACAACGTTCCTGAAAACGAATTTGAAAGTTCTGAAATTGTGAGTTATGTCATTGATCATTTTGAATTTACAATTTTTCTTCAGTTATGTATAAATATACTCAAAAGAGTAGCAGAGACCCTTATATTTTCGCTAATAAGATGAAATAAATCACAGATGCTCAAAGTACCTCTTTTTGGTCACACCTGCAATAATTGGAAAGTTGTCACAAGTGCGTTGCTTTTAAGAAGAAGAATCAATTTTTCTTTGAGATCGGTTTGGAAATACCGCAAATTGAAACTTGCTTTGATGTTGACCTTAATAGATGGTCGACTATATTATTACCCGTGGGTATCCCGTACTGCGAGGCGGCGCGCTGCACGGACGAGGCGCCGCAGCGGATGGACGCCAGCGCCAGCTGCAGGTCGGCGCGCCGCCACGCGGTCGGCGCCGCGTTGAACGGGGCCGACAGCCGGATACCCTCGCGCCGAGCTATCTTGTACAGCGTGCTGCTGGGGATACCTGGACGGACCATACGATTCTAACTTTTTAACCAAATATCATGGTACACCATCTTACCATGATATGAGAAAGCGTGAAATGCATCCGTGTATCACGGGCTGTTGATAATGACAATACGAATTAGGTGAATGATGCCATGTTGGCAGGCAGGAATTTAGTATTTAAAAGACAGAACACCGTACCATACGCTTTGCTGGCCTTATTAGCGGAGATGGCACCTGCCCTCAAGGCATGCAGTGCCCCTCTTAAATCTGCCTCGCTCCAGGACTTGGCTGCTCCCTCCTTCTTCGGCGTGTCTATGCCCAGCCGGTGGGCGCGCTGCCATAACGTAGTCGATGGGATGCCGTATGTTGCTGATGCCTAGTGACATCACAAAAGTAATAAGAAATTATTTATGGTCATTTAATCAAACTTAGAACGTAATGAACTTTGACTGCACGGTTGGCGCGGTGGTTGGGCAACTGACTGCCGCGCAACGTGTCGCGGATTCGATTCCCGCACGGAACAACTCTTTGTGTGATCCACAGATTGTTGTTCCAGGTCTGGGTGTTATGTGTATATGACCTTGTATGTTTGTAAACGCACCGTGTGCACAGTGTGGGGCAACGTTTTTAAAAAATAAGAAAAAAGGAAAAGAATATGTACCCACATGAAAACCAATCTTGCACTGTCTCATTATTTCTAGTACCTACACATGTTGTGACGTGCAAATCTAACTATACTAATATTATAAAGCTGAAGAGTTTGTTTTTTTGTTTAAACGCGCTAATCTTCGAAACTACTGGTACGATTTGAAAAAATCTTTCAGTGTTGGATAGCCCATTTATCAAGCCGTAACATATCACGCTACAATTAATAGGCGCCGAGCAGAGCGCGTCAAACCGCGCGGATGTAGCTAGCTTAATTATAATAACATAAATAAATTGTAACTATTTGCGGCCAATCTTAATTAAGAACAACTGTTTTAGAGTTTTTACTTCGCTTGCCTAATTTTATCATAAGTATGAAGCAACGGACCTTTTGTATACCAAATAATAAATACAAAAATAATGGACAAACAAAACATACGTCCTCGAAATTAATTACGTAGCTTAGTTGTCTGTAATTACGTGTCATACAAACTGTAAGTACTGGCTGTATGGTCATCAAACAAACTGTTCTCACTGAAGGTTACTTGTATACTTGGAACCGTCACGCGTATAATCTGTGGCTCGTCAACCGTGACTACTCTGACTGGTTTTATCTAATAAAATTAACTGTTTGACTTAGTACTAACTGGTACTTATTCTGAAATTCAATAGGTACACCATATTCTTGTACTTCCCATAACATAACATAACATCACGCCTTCCCTTTTGTCCCCGAAGTGATAGGCAGAGGTGTACATTATGACACTGTACAATGTAACACACACTTTTCACTATGTTATGAGTCCCATGTAATGGGTGAGCCTATTGCCATATACCGGGCACAATTTCAGACTAAGAATTTTTTAATAACCCAGTAGGCAGTAATACTTTGCCCGACCCGGGAATCGAACCTGAGACCCCATACCCGGCAGTCGCACTTGCGATCACTCGCCAACGAGGCAGTCAAACTTCTTCAAATAACTCATACCATTTTCGGAAGACAAAAAGTTGATCTACAAATAGCCTTTTGGAGTTTTGGGGATAACGAGTTTGAGGATCGTTAGGGATTCAGGGATTGGGGAAGGGGAGGGGTAATTGAGCTTCCAGTAACGTCACTCACAAGACGAAACACGACGCAAGCGTTGCTTCACGTCGGTTTTCTGTGAGACCGTGGTATCATTCTGGTCTAGGCGGCCAATGCATGCTGAAGCATGGCTCTCCCACACTTAATTTTATTTATTATTGTTCTTTAGACTTCTTACCTTGGTAAGACTCATTTGATGGTTTCTAAGTGCGTCCAGCGCGCGATCCATGTCCTGCTGCGTCCAACTCTTGGGGCTGTGTCGGGGAGCAGGCGAGGTTTGGCGGCCACACGAGTCGCTGGTGTCATCACCGCTTAGATGCTGTTGTTCTATGGTTACATCATTATTATGAGATAAGTGGGGTATGACCGTAACTGCGACTGGAAACAGAGGTGTAGAAAACAGAGGAGAGGCCTCTATATTCAGAATTTGAATTATTGTTAAACAATATGATGTTTCTTTATTTTAAAACTAACTGTCCCGTCAAAATGTAAGGACAATTCTAGTTTTATTGAATTTTCAAACAATACAGTAATTATTCTACTATTCCGAAAGATCATTTTCGATATGGAAAGTAAATTCATAGAAAAGAGACGTTTTCGAATAAGCAATTATATCTGTAACAATTGACAATCAAGTCTACTACTAATTAATTGGTCGCTAGGCATAGTACACCTACTAATTTGTAGCTATTCTCAGGAAACTAACAGTGTCTGTGAGCAAATCTAGAATAATCTGGTTTCTGAGCCTATTGTAGGGTTCCAAATATTTCTCACGATGAAACAAACCGGTTTGAAAAGGACTGTCCAACTTTTACACTTAAAGCGAAAAATAATTAAAATAAATCAGTTTCGAATGCTTCCAACCATTCTAAAATGGCGTGCGTAAACAAGAAGCCAGCTTAAATTACGGAACGTTTAATAAATTGCCCATTACTAACATTAAATATTTGGTACATATCTGCGACCTCCATACGAACATCTATAGGTAGATCTATTCTATATGATTCATATGAAATGTAGGTGCTTATCAAACGCAGTAAAATGTAAAATGAGAAATTAACTTTAATGCTTAAGTTGGGCTTAAACTACAGATAAGGCGCACATTATTCATTTTATATCTATAGAATATTCCGCAGAATACTCTTATATGACAACTTGTGTGCCCATAATGAATGCACGGATGTGTTAGCAATTAATGGAGTAAGTAGTCTTGGCAGGTGGTGGTGATACTACCTACTGTATAGGACAAAGCTCAATTGTATGTATTAATGTATAATACGTACCACCTTCAGATGAAGGTTCGTCTTTGATGGCCAGCAGCGGCATGAAGTCCGTGGAGTCAGGCACCTCGTGCACGTTCAAAAAGTCCATGTGCCGGTCCAGCAACGACGTGCTCTGCTCAAACAAATGTTGTGAGGTTAACTTTACGTAAATTAAACTATATTACCCAGAACAAAAACATTTTTATACCTCTATAAAATGTTGCCAAGAAATAATCACACCCGAAATCTATTCTAATTTAATCCCAATTTTACACAAGTGGACGGGAAATACTACAGTTGTAGCTCGTAGCGCGTAGTCCGTTGTACGTAGCGCGTGGTCTCAACTGCGTAGCTCGTAGTGCATTGCTCTAGTGTTTTTTTTTTAAGGGGGATAATCATCGAATGACTGCTCCCGCCTGGGTGAGGCGGAAGGGAGTGTCAGACTCTTACTGACTAAAAACCACCCCGTTCCTTCTCCTGCACGTCGAGCCGGAGCCCCGGTTAACCGTTAGGTTCTCCGCGACTGCTCTCGAGTGTAGTTCCTACCTACTGCGTAGCTCCTACGGCGTAGTCCGTAGTACATATCACTTGATTTCTACCGCGTAGCCCTCTATGCGCGTAGCGCGTATCGTATCTCGTAGTTCCGTAGCGCGTAGACCGTAATGCGTAGCGCGTGGTTCATAGCGCAAGTTTTGTAGCGCGTAGCACCGTAGTCAATAATGCGTAGCTCGAAGCGCCACGGCCCATAGCGCGTAACCTATATTTCGTAGCGCAAGCATCCTAATACGTAGCGCGTAGCTCGTAACGTGATCCTCTTCGTGAGTAGCAGCGGTTACGGACTATAACTAAAAAACTATAACTAAACATATACATGCAAACATGTTTGTAGATTTAAGGCTGACACCTGACACCTCGCAAGCTACTCATTCTAGATGGAGCTACATACGTCTGCCCACGAGAGAACGTGGATTACCAGATATCAATGAGAGCAAACTTAGTCCTTGACAGCGTATTTAAAGTCTCTAAGAAATAAATAAAGTGAGGAAAAAGGTAAATAACTCAGTCACCGTTAAATCCACTATGTTCCTCAAGAGTTATCTATAACTTAAAAGATTAATTAAGGAACTTCCGTTACTCGCTCATTAATATTCAAATTGTACAACAAAAAATTTTAAGGCCGTTAACATAAACACCTTATTTTATAAAATTAGAACTTTGCCTGCATAAATTATCTATGTTATAAGTAGTTAAATAAGTTACTATTTAACTGAAGTCTTCATATAAAAAGTAATCTGCTTCGCATCACAAGATCAGCAGTCAAACCAACCTTTGCGTAAGTATATTTAAGTACTAAAGATAGAATTTTCAAAATTAAACTCCGTATAAAATACGCGATGATCTAGTGACAAACAAAGACGATCAAATACTTATAGATCATTTTGATATGGCCGTAAGTCTAGCTATTTTCTGTTATGACAATGTAATGGAAACCATTTTAAATTTGAAATTGGAATACCTTAGCATTGTGTGGTGCTGACTCGAGCGTTTCTAGTGTAGTGGTCGGTGGGGTCTCAGCTCGTTCCTGTTTCACACACACAGGTGTCGCTGCTGGGCCTGCAGGTGCCAGGGGTGCTAGCTCCTCTAAACCACTAGCCTAATGAAGAAATTGATTGTAAGTGTACTGAATCAATGAATTAGTGAGTGTAAGCAAATACTAGCAAAAAAAACTTAGATAAACAAACAAGATGATTACACAATATTGTGTCAATAAGAACTGTACATAACATTGTTAGTAGTTAGTACAGTAGCTAACACAAACATTTGAAGACGGAAGCAATTACTTCTCAAATTGAGCATAAAGCAAGCAGTTAAACTTCGTTGTCAATGAGTCGCAGTGTCGTGCTCCGACACGCGAGGGTCGCTCAAAGCTACAGGAGGGAAATAAATCATTACGTGCACATTGTAGACGTCTTGAAGCTAGAAACAATCAATCTATCACATCGCATTCATGCCAACCATACCGCACTACGCAGGGACACGTCACTAATGGTCAGTCTCGAATCTCGATACAATACCAAAAGTAGATATCTTTACTTATTAAAAAATGTGTCAAACTTCTACATATGTCTCGTAGCCCTATCTATTAATTAGGGAATGCAATCTCGATCTCGCGAGATAGTTTTACTAAAGGAAGTTTGTTTTATATTAAAATAGAAGAGGAGACTAGTGGTTTGATTCCATTGTTATTTAATACTTACATACGTCAAAGTAAAAGTAGTACGTAAAATACAAAAAAATCTTTAAAAATCTAGCTTCTGCTTCCTGCTTAGTCTGTGTAACTTTAGGCAGAATGATTTTGTTTCAATTTTGTCGAAATTTACGAGATAACGAGATCTCGTATTGTCGATTGTATTTCTAATCTTACGAGATTAAGGCACAAGCGGAATCTCGCGAGATTTGCATTCCCTGCTATTAATAGGATATTGAGACTGGCCATAAATAAATCCGCATCAATTAGATTTAACACAAATTTTGCAGAGAAACGGCGTAAAAGTAAAATTTCTCATAGATATCACTCGCCGAGAACTTTTGCCGATACACGAGTATGAAAGTAAATACCTTTCTGTAGGTCAACTTTTAAGAATTTCTCATCACAGCGAGCTTACTACCTATATTTGTTGTGTTCATGTTCATCTTTTAGCACTTTTCTGCGCCAATTTATCTAGTCGTGTGCGTGTCAGCGTCAAAAGTAACTTTCTATTACATATTGAGAGAGTACAAATCTTTTTCCGCATAATGTATACTACAATCTCCACAAAGTGGGCAAAATGGAACAAGTTTTTATAATTTGATTAGCGGTTGAAAACTCTTTTACGAGTTGTGGTTACGCGTGCTGCGTTTCAGCGTTGAATGACCCTAATGTTAGACTTACTACATGTGAATTACTAAAACAGATAACGCCCCAGTTAGAGTCCTATCGTCATTATGAATTAAAACTTGATAGGTACTTAATATAAAACAATTTCGTAAGTAGTACTCATAAAGTTACAACTCGAGGTCGGCTGTTCAGATACGCATTATCTTTGATATTTGCTACCACGTCTCTGTATCGAATAACAATAAAAAATACAAAGTAAAATAATATTCTAAAGTTCACCGAAAAAGTAATATAAAGCGAAGCCAGCAAGCCGCTAATACCTACACGTCACTACATGTACAGAAATAAGTAAGCAGTTAATTAAACACTTGAAAAACTTCGCTTCTTTCAATACAAAGTAAGTACCAAACCACTACGGACTTAATTTATTTAATCTAAAGCTACAAATAGGTCTGTAACTACCTATAAATCATTCTACGCTCGCGAAAATCGTGCAACAAAATAACAAAATGCTAATTAAAGTTACCTGACTGGATAGATAACTGTGCGCAAATTGTGAGTCGCTGTCTTCTTCGTCCGAAAGTGGCTCGCATTTCACTTGAGACAGTCCGTGGCCGGGCATTTCCTAGCGAACCAAGTTAATAAGAATTTAAATCAAAACGACGATTATAGATAATACACTGACGTCCTTAAATTTTCCACAGTTTTAACAACAATATTAAAATGTGTTTTCTACTTAATTTCTTATTAACTTTTACGAAAGTTTATGTCGACGTTACGGTAGTATTTTTCACAACAACAAAAGCGCGCTAAACCTGTCCTGGCAGTGTAAACAACAGCGGGGCACCCCATGTTCTCTCCGCAATGTCGCAGAAATCGAACAATCGCCATGTTATAAGTAGGTTTACATAGGCAATTAGACAAAAGGAAGCGAGCTTTATTGAATTTTTTCTCGATTGGTGCACAAATGAAGAGTGCAAAGTTTGGCTCTCTCTTTCCCGCTCGCGAGCCAGACTGTCTCACGAGCTTTTTTAATTTTGTTTGTTTAAAGCCCTTATGCATGTCGCTGGCGTAGGAAGTTCAACGTGGAAACTTTCAAATGAAGCAAACGCGCGTAACCGATTCAAAACTTTACACGTATAAGAAAACTTGTAAGTTTTTGGGATAAGCGACTTTAAGAGGTTGATGTTAGCGTGTATATTTGTACGCTATCACCTGTCAGAGGTGGAGGAAAGTAGTGAATGTAAAGTTGCGCGGTTAACCCTCTCTCGTCGCTTCACATCGTTCCATTCGAGGAGCGGACGGCCACAGCGCACGTCTGCGCGACCCCGACACACCGCGAGATACGAAAACACATTCACTTTCATCGTCTTCCCGGCACACGGCGAAGGACGGTGCGAAACGGGTGCCGATAAACGCGAGGGAAACGGAATTGCCGAAGACGAGGGCGCGAAATTCACTCGACTCACCTAGTCGGTCAGCGGTGGCCGCCGCAAGCACTCGCCCGCGCCACACATGCACCGCGGACTTGTCACGGCACCCGCGACTGCACGGTGACCTTCGGGAAACGATGAGATGTCGCAAATGAAAGTGAATTCGGCACACACCCGGCCGAGTCTGCGTCGCTGCGTGGCGCATGTTTAGGAGGTGCAGGGCGGGCGCGTGCTGATTTTTTTCCGCGCCAAAGAAATAAAAACAAACGCCTTTTTGCCGGGAACCGGCCGCGCACCGCGCTGTAGCGCTGCTCCCTCTCTCGGCGCCACCGCTACGAGCGACGGCGACGTGGCCCACACACTCAGACACACTCAGTTGAAGCACTATGCAGGAGGCTGTCGAAACTTTCAAAAGTACCTTAAATAGTTTACATCTTGAAATGAAAAGCTTCCCTATCGCTGAACTGTATAGCAAGTACAAAAATGTGCGCCAAGTCAGCGGGGAGGGTAGGTGCATTATAGCGCGTGTAGGTATGCAGGGAGGCGGTAGGGGGTGGTCCGGACGCCCGACCAGTCGGCGCCCCGCGCGGCGCCTTCTCTCTCCGCTCCGATTGATTTTTATTACAAGAATTTCGCTCGTGGTTTTTTTTTGTTTCCCGCACACCGAGGGCCTGGCGACGCACACAAAGAGAATCGTATAATTCGTTTGTACGAACTTACTAATGCTATTGATTTTTATAACGAAGCGACAAAGCCGTCGGGGGACGGGCGCAGGCTGTGTCTTTAAAATAAGGAAAAGTATCAGCAGTAGGTATTCACTTCCCCCGCTGCCTGTAGATGTGTTTTGTAGTACCTACAGTAATATAGAATACTGTTGTATGTACAGTTATACATTACTAAACTGTTTCGTCTATTATAATAAATTATAATAATGATAATACTTCAGCAAACAAATGAGTTTCAAAATTAATATATCAGTCGTGAAAGAGAATAATTATTCGACTAATTAGTCGTTACTACTTCACGGCTTATTCTCTTTTTATTTGGAAAAAAATATAAACACAAACGATAAAAACAGGACCTGGGGTTGATTCGCTGATCATCGAGAATAGCTGTTATTAAATGGGGGTCAAGCCAGAAGTCGAATAATAGTTGTAAGGCAATTGTATCATGCTTCTGTTCACGATGGTAACCAAACCTATTAAGACAGGATCTCTAGTCTGACGAAAATATACATTGGCTCATAGCTTTGATACCGAAGTAGATTGGATCCAAAACCGACCTGAACTATGTCCATTTCTTATCCCAAATTTGCATACATCAAACTTTATTCATGGCCTAAAAATTAATCATCAGCCGATAGACATCCACTATTAAACAAAACCTTCCCGTTAATTATCTACGCTGTAAAATATACTGCGTATATGATTGATTGAGCATATTCTTAATTTGGCTCTTTTTAAAACACTAGCATAACAGATAAAAAATAAATGTAACACAGATACATACTAGCATTGTTGCCTGCCCCTTTAAGGTTCAATTAACTTGATGTTCTACGTGTCTTCCTGACGGTTGAATAGACCTCTTTCTTAAATTTAGCATTCCTCTTAACAAAGATGTCCCATTAAGGAATATATTTAGCCGCGGAGGACTGCAGGGGCTCCGGCTCGAAGGGCAGGAGTAGGAACGGGGTAGGTTTTAGTCAGTATGAGTCTGACACTCCCTCCTACCTCACCCAGGCGGGAGAAGTCATTCGATGATGTCCTCCTTAAAAAAATTAAGGAATATATTCACCATAAGGTCTACGCCACCAAATTATTTGAGGAAACTGCTCATAAATCAGTAGCTGATCAGATTTTTAAAGCATATCCAGGTACAAGCTTCATTCACAGTAAGTAAAATAACAAGCTGTTATGATCACTGCTTCTCTTCCCGTGGTATAAGAACTAAGGGCTCTTTGATAAACCTGGACCTTTCAAACTGTGATCTCATATCCGCTTACCAAATGTGTAAAGTTTATGGCAAATCCTAGCTCTTATGACCCACGTGAAGCTATGAACATGATGTCATGATTTGATACTATATCGATGTTAAAGGAAAAGTAGTAATTGCATGTATGTATAAGTACTAGATTCTGTCAACAGCTTCTCGCGCATTCCTGGATAACAAGTAGCCTATGTGTTATACTCAAAGAGCCATCAGACCACCACAGATGGGGCCCAATAGGGCCGATGCCGATTCGGAGTCGCGGAGAACCTAACGGGTAACCGGGGCTCCGACTCGACGTGCAGGAGAAGGAACGGGATGGTTTTTAGTCAGTAAGTCTGACAGTCATTCGATTATTTTCCCCCTTAAAAAAAAAAAAAACTTCATCGTTTTAACGTGAAGGAATAACAAACAAACATACAAACTTATAATAACTATGTATGTACTAGTTTTTTTTTTAAGGGGGGAAAATCATCGAATGACTGTCAGACTTACTGACTAAAAACCATCCCGTTCCTTCTCCTGCACGTCGAGTCGGAGCCCCGGTAACCCGTTAGGTTCTCAGCGACAAGTATGTACTAGTAGGAGTAATAGGATAGGACATTGCACAGATCCAGTACAACGTACTTAGGTGTAGTTTATAGAGCACGTTGACGTAGCGGTTGTAGACACTTGCTCGTCAATTGTTAGATTACTGTGACTTTGATGGACCCATTGTGTTCCGCTCGAAGGTCGCTCAGTACAAGAGCCATCGAATAGGTTATAACTCATACCTATAGGTGGATACAAAAGCATTTTTTTTAAACTTAAACTATGTAAACTTAGACTACGATTTCGTCCTGTGTCATAGATGCACTTAATTCTACAAACTTCTTGTTAAGTAGATATCACACCGGAACAGCAATAATTTACCTCTGACACATTAATTCACAGCAATCGGTAATCCAGCCACTAACATATTAATGCTTAATTATGAAATCATTGTTGAGATTCATTTGTTTCTTACTAGCGACCTACCCGGCTTCGCACGGGTGCAATATGTATATATTATACATATAAAACTTTCTTGAGAATCACTCTATCTATATAAAAAAAACGCATCAAAATCCATTGCGTAGTTTCTAAGGTCTAAGCATACATAGGGACAGACAGAAGGAGGATAGTGACTTTGTTTTATACTATGTAGTGATTAATACTTATCAAATCTATCATCTACCATTTTTTTCCATAATTTGTTAAATTTTGTGTTAATAAATATTTAGCAGCAATAAATATTAACCAGATTCGGGTGATAGCAGTAGACATAATAGAAATAGATCACTCCTCGTCTGGATAATGAAGAAAATATAAAATATCTTATATTAGGTACTCCGCAATAATATCTATGCGCTGGAAGCGGGTCAATCGGTCAACCTAGTCGAAGGGGCCGTTCGCTACGAACCGCATTCGAAGAACAGCTCTCATCTAGAAGTCTAGATACTATTTTGCTGCACTAGTACAATAACTAGGTATTTTTTTTTTTAAAAAGTACAATAACTAGGTAGTCGTTTTGTTCTCCACGTTCACCGAAGCCGGATATTCTTTACCGGAAGTCTACAGTTTTGCCAAGTTTCTAGTACCCAAGAAGCTCTAAAAAAGAATGAGATAATACATATTTCAACTCAAATAAAAATAACAAAGACTCAGTTCTAGGATTAAGTAAGTCAATTAGTTACAATCAAATACTGACTGATACAAAACATTGCCGTTTAGCTACATGTCGACTTATGTTTGAAAATAACCTACAGATGGCGTTATTTTCAACTTGCAATCTAATCTTCCATTAAGCAATATCGAAGCAAGACATTTTAAATGACAAACAATATTCCATTTATTTTCATAAATAATTTCCAACACAATACAGTTTTCTTTTGTTTTATTGAAACAATTTTGGAATCACGAGATGTATGTCGTTAAAAGTGGGTCAAGGACAAGGTGTTCTAAATTCAAAGTACTAATGATTTATTATAGAATAAGACACGATATGCGAATAGAAATGAAATTCAATTATTATTATTTTTTAAGTGAAACTTTTACATATATTTTATGTGATAAACGTGCGCATTTATTATTTTTTTCAAGCTTTCCTATTATTTATTAATGGCAACATTATGGAGCTTATTTTGGGTCATTCGCGTCGCTTCCAACTTGTACTTCGTTTGGATTTTTGTAGAGGTGCCTTTCTCTAAACTTGCAACATAGCATAGTTTTAGTTTAGTGTTTTCAATTTCATTCACGAAAGCTGGCGGGTGTGCAAATGTGTTAAAAATAAAGTGGAAAGAAATTTTAATAGAATTGAAAGTGTTAAAATACGTTTAATCAGTTAATGCAATAGTCAAGGTAAGCATTTTAATCTTAGTATAGCATTACGGCTCCGATAAGGGCTTACTTATTACTAGGACTTTTCATCTTGAAAATTTCCACTCTGTGAACTTTCGAAGTAAAGTTCTCTGAAGTTTCTTTGTTGACTTCAAACTTCCTCGATGATATTATCTTACCTTAGCAACGTGATTACTTCGATTAGCATAAGTGTGGCCTAAAAGTTATCTCAGAAAATGGTAAACTTAGAATTTTCGTCGCCATTTTATTTTTTGTCGCGCTGGAAAAGCGGCCATTTTCTTTGTGCCGCGTCGCTTACGACGACTCGTATGTGGTCCGTAAAGTTAATTTAGTTAAGTTGGGGCGTGATCTCATCGTATGAAGTGATTCGGTGAGATAATTAACGTTGTACAGTGATAATCATTCAGAATCCAATGTTTGTGTAGTCTTAGTGAAGTTTTCCTAATGGCCTAGTTATTGCGTGTGTTATTAGACCTTGTTTAGACGTTACTTTGATTTGTACGTTTGTAGGGCTGAGGGCGCGGCGAGTGGCTAGACGGCATCATGGACGACGACCAACAGTTCTGCCTGAGGTGGAACAACCATCAGTCTACACTGGTGTCTGTTTTCGACACTCTTCTTGAGAAGGGGATGCACGTGGACTGCACCCTGGCTGCTGAAGGACAGACGCTCAAAGCGCACAAAGTAGTCCTCTCAGCGTGCAGTCCTTATTTCGAGGTATGTAAAGTCTCTGTAATGTAGGTCAACTACAATCGTGTCTAAGTAACTTGCAAGGCAACACAGTTTTGCTCTAATAAACATACCACTTGTACCATTCTAGCTTTCATGTTTTAACAATTATGTAGTGTACATAGGTGGATAGATGAGTTGGCAACCGAAAGTTGCCTCTACTACTTTTTCCAAACGCTTGCTTGCAATTATTCACATTACCTAACATCGTACCATTAACTGTTGTTAACTTAATGACATGCTAAATGTTTTGGTGCATTAACTAATTACATTTAATTGATTTTTGTTTCATGTGAAATTGAAACACAAATGGTTTAACAATGAGTTGTTATTTGAGACTGACTTTCAGTAGAATATTTACAAACATAACCACAAGTATAAGTAAACAAAGTGAACAATGGATGGATGAATTTGTTTCAGAGTGTATTATCACAGCAGTATGATAAGCATCCAATAATTATCCTCAAAGATGTCAAATATGCTGAGTTGAGAGCAATGATGGATTACATGTATCGCGGTGAGGTTAACATATCTCAAGACCAGTTGGCCGCACTGCTAAAAGCTGCAGAGTCCCTACAGATCAAAGGGCTCTCAGACAACAAGCCCTCGAGGCCACCGTCGCGCCCCGCGCAGGCTGTCGCTGCACACCCGCCTCGAGCTCCCTCACCTCCACCACAGGTTTGTGCTTTTACCATTCTACTGTACTATGTACTATGATATTATATTTTTATTTGTGTAAAATTGAAACAAAATGTATTATATTGGTATTAACCACAATATTACTGTATATAACATCACTAAGAATATTCTAGATGAAACAGTTTACATACAGATATGTTTGGAATGTTGTCAAAGTTGTATTGAACATACAATTGAAAGGGAATGACCAAGTAATAGTAATGTTAGAGTGGGAAACCTTGGCACTGCCATGTGTGTTGGCAGATGTTTTAATATGCAATTCATCTACAATAGATAAAGTCATCTGTTAAACACATAAAACAGTTGTTTCATATTGTACATTCATATATTATTTTAAAAGAATTGTGTTTGTCTATCTTCATACATATAGGTTATAAACATAAACACTATTGAAAAGCATCATAATTTTATTTATAGAACTAGCTACAAATGTTAATTTTACTGTATTTTCACAAAAAATCACCTAACAATGGCCATACATATTAGGGTTTGATGACCATATGATGGTTTTAACCTTACATACAACCTGTAGAGTGTAAACTATAAAACATAGTACTTCTAACTAAGTTTTATACCTTACACAGTGCAACTCGGTTATGCATGAAAGTATGGCCACCATCAGTGAAACTTCAGAAATGCTTAATGACGTGGCTATCCAGAAGTAAAATACAAGTTACCTATGTATTTAATTAAAATTGTTGTTGATGATAAATTTGATATACTTGAATCTCTATGGATAGTAAGTAGTTTAACTCATTTGACAATAACAGAAATACTATATACATTGCAGTGATAATAAATAGAAGTTTTTGTTATCATCAGGTCCGAGATGGTAGTATAGACAGCCGTGAAGGATCTGTCAGTCCAACACGACGCCGGAAGAAAGCACGTCGCATGTCCAGTGAAATTCCGCCTGTACCTATTCCACCACCCAACGACAACGCCCAGGGAAACGGAGAGGACGCCGCACCCTGCAAGGAAGAATTGCAGCGGGACGGCGTCGAGGACCTCACGCTAGACGAGGAGACTGACGACCAGCCCGCCGTGGCACACAACGACGTTGTACGCAGTAAGTGTCGCTATATTTTGAGCTTTCTAATCTTTATACTAGATTTTATTCGCGGCTCATGTCCTTCTCCGTATTCCCAACTATTATGTATACGAAATTTCAAGATGAATGGTGTGAAGAGGTTACAAACTTTTAAAAGGTATAAACATTAAACATTGTCTCAAGACACATTAAATTGAATAACTTGTAAAACTAATAGTTTCACGTAATGGAACCTGGAATTTTGTACACAATTGTAAGGTTGTGCTAACACGTGTTTGTATCTTTTCAGATTTCCAATGGCATATGGAACGATCTCAAGACGACCTGATGAACTCGAGTGACAGCGCGCGAGAGTCGCAAGGTAAGCCCCGGCCGTGGCCACGCGGCGCGTCCTCAGGCAACATGTTGCGTTGACACTGCTTTCGATGTATTTCTGTGTACCTAAGGACAAACAACGCGACATGTCACATGTGGGATTCGATTGATAGTCTGGAACAATTAACTTTATTTGTTGGGTCTACCTGCCTTTATATTGTTTTAAGTAAAATTACAAAGATAATTGTTCCAGACATACAAGGAACGGATGAAATGCGCAATGTCTTCCCATAATTTGATATAGACAAACAGTCATTGCTTAAAATAATTTATTTATGTTATATATAAATATTATATTTTCACGACAGTGGATATGAGTGCTAGTGTTTTCACATGTGAAACTCCAATCTTATATTAATTTAGTATCTAATATTATTATAAATTACTAATCTTATTACAGTTCTATATTTTATTACGTTATGATACTTAAAAGATATTCCAGTGCATCAGGTAACGGTATATTGGTAATAAGGTTTTATGAAATGTAGCCTTTTAAGGTGAGGTATTCGAAAAGGTAAGTATAGGTTTACGTTAATATTACACAAATTGTTACGCTTATGTTTGTGATATGGGATCTTAGTGAATGTAGATCATTGCATGCTTCAGTAATGTAATATTGTCGTAGAACGCACGCGTTGCAATTAACTTTGGCAAATAGTGCAACCATTTACTATAAACACGTTAATAGTCTAACACTGGAGTGGAACGGTTTATTTTATTGGTAAGTAACTTTTTACGTATTTATTGTCAATTATCTTATGCATAAGTAGTTGTAACATAAAGTACAATAAAATTAATTTCAATAAGCACGACACTTCACCTTGCCCATGTTTTATTGGGTCTTTTAAAATAGTTGGTTCACCTTCGCTAAGTAAAAATATCGTGGAATAAATTTTTATAGCACAAGTGTGAAATTAATGTTTGTAGAAGACTGGATGGTCTGCACCCAGGCGCCCCGATTGAAGGTAAATGTCAATTATTTATATTGTCCACGTAGTTGATGGTTATGTGGCTTATTTATTTATTATTTGTATTATTTTCGTTTTTTTGCATTCACATGTGATTTCACTGCAGACGTCTTTTTCTTAGCAATTCATGTTCAAAACCGAAAAGAAAAAATGTTCTCGTTTATTTGTGCATGTTCACTAGGTTTACTAGATTTAAAAAATTATCGGAAGCATGGTGGGACACTACCAGTTCCTAGTGGATGCGCATTTCATTTTTCAATATATTTATGCCATTATTTCGTAGGACATTACAATTTAAATAAAACATGTTTGAAGCCAAGACACCAGACTACAACAGGACATGAACACGGGGCAAAAATCAATGAAGTATACATTTTACCTTTTACATGCGCCACAGGACATTGCTAACAAAACCTCTTGCTTGTATACCTTCCGACTCTGCTGTATTGTTGCACACATCTATACTACCACCTGCTTAAACACACAACATCAACTACTTGCCGCTACCTTCTTACCAAGGCTTCCTCTCTTTGCAGAATTGTTTCCAATATACTTACTTATATTCTGTGACTAACACACAAATGCTTTTTATGTCATTTATTGTCGCTATTCATTTAATCTTCCAGAACCGCTTATCCTTCATTACGCCAAAACCTCTTTTCCATTAACCCGTGGGTATTTTAAAAACATCAAAATTAAGAATGAAGATGGGTGTAAACAAAGTAATAAAAAGAAAGTCAGAAAGATTGGCAGGAAAAAGATGGTGCCTGCAAAACAAAAAAGATCTAATATGAAACGTGCCACAACCAATGGTGGGATCCGTAGAAATGACACTAAGGATCACTTATATGTATGTTCCATATGCAAGAAGAAACAGTATAAGTATAGAAGGAACAAGTTGAGACACGAGAAGTACGAATGTGTGACTGGGCCCCAGTTTGGTTGTGAGTCTTGTGGGAAAAAATATTCACAGAAAAAAACTTTGATCTCGCATATTGCTCAGAAACATCCCAACCGGATGAAGGAGCATCAAGCCTCATTGAAAAATTAGCATTCTCGTTATATTTCTTTGATTTTTTTTATTATGTTGTCATTTATTATTGGTTTCTTTTTTCTTAAAAAAAAAAGAGTATTATAAAACATGAATTGTTAAGAAGAATATTTAGTTGTGACTAATCTTTGTTATGCTTTAGTTTCTGATATCTCCAGTGAGATTTTTTTTTGTTATTAGTTTTCTTTTTTTTATAATTAAATCATAAGTTTGTTTTTGTTATCGTAATATTATACTTTAGAAAGATTATTTTTCGACTTAGTCGATTTGTTCATTTATTGCTTCTTTTTTGAATACATTTGTTTTTGATATTATTTTTGTTTTTATTTATTTAAATATACTTGGAATCTATAAGTTAAAGTGCGATCAACATTGGCTGATAAACGGACTGTATTCCATTTTTTTATTGCAGGTCAAAATCCAACGCTGCGACATAGTATCGTGACTCGTAGTAAAAAAGTAGACGAAACCACAACATTAGCGATATTGAAAACAGTAAAGTCACCCCCGCCACCGCCGGTCAGCACGACCGAGGAGACGAAAGAAAACAAAAAATTGGAAAATAAATCTCCCAAACCGGTAACGCCGAAGCCCTCGCCTAAGGTGTCGCCCAAGGCGTCCCCTGACAGCTCGCCGGAGCGCAGCGAGCGCGGCGGCAAGACGTCGCCCTACAACATCCTGCCGCCGTCCAGCGCGCGGCTCGAGTGTGCGCAGTACAAGACTGAGAAGGGCTACCGGTGCCCGAAGTGCCAGCGCTGCTACAACGCGCGCAAGAACCTCGTGCGGCACGTGACGCTGGAGTGCGGGCGCGAGCCGCAGTACAAGTGTCCCTACTGCGCCTACAGCAAGCACCGCCGCAACGAGCTCAAGAAGCACATCGACAAGAAGCACCCCGACCAGCCCTCGCTCGGTCCCAAGTGACGTCGTCCACTCCGCTCCACTAGTGCCTTATTATTATGAAACTATTTGATCTTCCTTTAGTTCATATTGGAGTTAAATTTTATATGCGTCATGTTTACCTGTGTATTGACAAATGATTGATATTCAATATTTTTTGAACTATTAAACGATTCTAGTAATGAGAGGCTTTAATTTTTATCCGTTCAATGTCACCCAGTCGATTCCGATAATGTTTTTATGGGAAGATAAGTTAAAAGAAATCAGTTTCTGTTATTTGGATTGTGCATGTTTTGCATGAATTTAGAAGCTTCGCCTTTATAATTTCTAACAGAAATTATTATTTTTTATATTTTTATTATTATAACGCATTTCTTTGGTTCCTTAATTTTATTTTAGCCTTTGGTAAAATTAACAAGACTCAGTATGTAGTTTCGCTTAACTTATTATTTGCAATACCGTTAATGTATTGTATTTCAGAGTTACACAAGGATAGCCACCTGCCGTCGGCTCTGCTGTCCTTGCTGTCAGTACAGCAGGCGCAGTCACAGTCGCTGGTGTCGCTGGTGCCGTCCTGCATCCAGGTCACTAACATCATGAAGCCCTCCGCCACTAAAGACATTGCGCCCTATCCCTCGCCGTTGCACATACCCAAGCTGCCATTAGATACGCTCAATTCGATCCCGGAGAATATTAAAGCGCATCTTTTGCAGCAAGCTTTTATGCAAAACAACAATACTGTTACACCGAACATGGACTATAAGCTACCCATCAAGCAGGACGATACAGAGTCTGACGCGGAGTACGATGACACGGACGATATAGTATTGCCCGAAGAGTCGGACACGTTCTACGACAGCAACGGCGGGTTCCCCGGCAACTCTGGTGGCATTCACGGCGACGACGGCTTCGACACCAAACCAGACATGAAAGGACACTGGAAGAGAGACGGAAATAGTTCGGACGACGCGAGCCGACAGTTCGAATGTAAGCATTGCGGTAAGAAGTATCGCTGGAAGTCCACCTTGCGCCGCCACGAAAACGTGGAGTGTGGCGGCAAGGCCCCATCCCACCAATGTCCCTACTGCTCCTACAAGGCCAAGCAGCGGGGCAACCTAGGCGTACACATAAGGAAGCACCACAACAACGAGTGGTACATATACGCCAGCAACAAAGTGAGGCGGAATAAAAAAACCTCCATTTAGTTATGTTTAAGAAGAGAAATATATTTTAAAAATCTTTAGACCAAAGTAGATACCTAACCAAATCGGTACTGCAATAATTTTATTTATATTTACATTATTTTTTTGTTGACGACGTTTTAATATACACTAAAGAAATAGTTGTAATATGCACATTCCCTAACGGCATTAGTGTTAATTTTGTTGTTTTTGTTTTAGAGTTTATTATGGTAGTTAAGACTGACCCTAAGTATTTTATTCAGATGAATATGACCCAAGGTCGCCGTAATTTTAAATATTAGACAAAAATGGAAACTAGTGTAAAGAAGTAATCCTTTCTTGAGTGGTACGACGTAATTTGTCTTATCACTGACCTGTAGAGGTCATTACAACCAAATTTTTGGAATTTCCATTATTTAACTCGAATTTGTTTAGTTTTAATGACCTTATCATTCCTAGCAAGGAATAATTCCAAATTGATAATTTAGTGCAATGATATTAAATAAATATTTAGTTGATATTATATTGACCTGCCTAATCAGGTCTCTACATCATTAACCACGGTAGTTTCCGCCACGGGTAGATTTATTTATAATAGACGACAGCATAACATGTCGCGACGTATGTTTAGTCTCGCTATATTATCCTATTGTTCTTGTTTATAATTTATTTCGATTAATTTCTTAGTACATGGGACCACTTACCTTTGTCTTCCTTACTTTCTTTGTAGCAAACCCAAAGTTATTTTAATGTTGTTTATTTATTAGGATAATGTTTTATGGACTCTTGTCCTTTGTAATGTAGTGTTCCGAATGTTTGTGTGATTCGCTCATTAGTTATGCTGGTCGCCTTTGTGCAATAATTCGGAACATTGCAAATTAGTTAGTTA